ACTCTCCTTGCATGAACTGAACTCTTCCAAAAAATAGGTCATTATTAAAGAGCCCAAATACAGCTCCTAAGGTACTGCCATTGACCGTGAATGGGTCTCGGCTTTTGGGAAATGTGAAATGCTAAATTTCTACACCCTAGCAAGACAATGTTGTTTCTCTTAAGTAGCTCTCACCTCCTACGTAAGACAAAAGCAACCCAGACCCGGGCCAGGGGGTAGAGACAAGCTGCTGTGGCACATGTTTGGTTCTGTTGCTGCCTGGGGCCCTCGCGAATGTAGCTTACGGGAGAAACAGAGGTGTCGGCAGTGCAGCGAATGCAGGTACAGGGGAACCCGGGCCTGCTGGAGGCTTCGGCAGGATTTGCAGTTGAGTCTGCCCTTTGGGTTGATACAGCTTCAGGTCCAGATTGTAGGTGGATGAAACCAGAGACTGTGGACCTCACGATCCCCTGGGAAGAGCCCTTCTTACCTCAATGCAGTCGGACGCTGGCTGGGTATGCGGGCACCACCCGAGACTCTAATATTGCACCCCTTCCTTGCCAGATAGTGAAACGTCTTCCAAAAACTCGGTCTGGAAAAGTCATGCGGAGGCTCCTGAGGAAGATCATCACGGGCAAAGCTCAGGATCTGGGGGACACCACCACCCTGGAGGACCCCAACATCATCTCGGAAATACTGAGTGCCTACCAGAAGCACAAAGACAAGAATGCTGCTCGCCAGTGATGGGCTGTGACCAAGACCCAGCGCCCAAGCCCCTAACTTGTCCTAGGACATGGCTGTCAGTTGGCTTGTTTTTAGATGTCCCAGAGAAGTGCCCTCCCAGCATATAACCCACACCGCCCCTCGTGGAAAGTCCGCGCTAAAACCCCTTCCCCTTTGTGTTGGCGAACCCATGCGACGATTCTATAAAATTGGTTAGAGTCTGTTCTCCTTGTCCTGAATTTGGTTTCCTTGAATGAGAAGTCCCTGTTGTCTCTGTTTCTGTGCCCGCGCCAGACTGCCCAGGAGGGTGAAAAACCCGGTAAAGTGTGCCTGCTCAGGTGACTGAGAAGTAGAAGCAGGTAGGTTTTTTCCAGATGTTTCTAGATATAAAAGGTTGGATGTGTTATTTTTGTACTTTTATATTTTGGAAGCATGACATGCAAACAACATGGGGAATGTGTGGGTTTGCTTGCACATGCTCTTTGTAACATCTAGAGTTCTGAAGATCTTGTTTGCCTTTGCCCGTGGGCAAACCTGGAGAGGATCGGGGTGCACTTGTAATGATGGTTTGCCATAGCTGGAAATCTGCATCGGAAGTGTTTGTACCTCAGTCTAAACACAGCTCTCTTGAGAATGCTCGAGCCTGCAGCATCCTTTTTTTTGGTATAAATTTCTACTTCTCTTGGTTTGTGTACAAATGAAACTCAACTTGTAAAGTGGTGGCATGGATGTGCTCCCCTTTTAGTTCTAAAGCTGCTCCAGTCACA